AAAAATCACCAATAGATGCTAAGGCAAAAGGGGAATTTTTTAGGGGAAGCTGATATTTACATGGTCTTGAATAACTTTCCTACAAATTACTTATTAATTGTAAGAGAGGAAAAAACAAATAGCAAAGCAATGGGGCAAAACCATGAGTGGGCAATTAAAATTAGCTCCACCCGAGAGACAGACAGAGTTCACGCACCTCCAGATGTGACATGCTGAGGAAGACAGATCACTTGGGCAAGGTTCAGCTGAAATCGACGTTACCTTTGATCCACACAAAAGTCACATCGGCACAACATGAGGAACATTCTACCTGTCACCCCCTTATATAAAAACTTGCAGTGTCTTCCCATGTTCTCAGTATAAAATTCAAACTCCTTGAAATCGTTTACAGGGTATATCACGATTCACAAGCGAAATCCCTTTACTGCCTAGCACACTCTCCTCTTTGATTTCAATTCTTTGTTCTCCTTTTCTCTGCTAAAGTCAGTGTTTTTCACATTCCACAGAGTATCAGAGGGTAGTTAAATTAGTCTAGTGAGGTAAAAAAATGATTTTCTATGACAAATACACTTTTAATTTAGAAATATACAAATGTAGACGTTAGGCTTTTTAAAGCTCTGAACTACCAACATATACAATACATACCAATATACTCTAGAGATATAGAGGCATAATAAAATTGAGATTTTTTCTAATCAACTCCATAATCTTTTTTATTAATCACACAATGCTCAGAAAAAAAAGATTCTTCAAATCTGTTTAGATGTGTAACTTAAAAAATTTTCCAGTAAATTTGAGAGCTAGTACTGTGTTAGTACCCCTGAAGCTAATCCACCTACATCCCCACAGGAACCCCTAAAAGAACTTCTGCAATACAAATACTCCAAGAGCAGTCATAAGAATATTGTCTCAAGACATATATGCCTTAAACACCCTCTCATGGAATGTCATGAGATTCTTGACCCTACTTTCTACAACCTGAGTCCTATCTCTGTCTTATCTTCCTCCCCTTATGAGATTCTTGGAAGAAAACAGTAATGAAGAAGCCCATGAATAAATGCACACCTCCCCACTCCCCACAAACACACTTGATTAAGGAAACTTCCTTTAGGTTACCATTGCCACTTTGTGCCAAAGTAGAGAATGAATCTAACTAATTGACAGGGGAAAGAGAAACCTCCTACCCTGCTAAAAAGGTAAAAGGTGAAAGAGAAGGGAGAATCACTTCTAGTTGGCAGAGAAAGTAAGAATCAAAACGAACAGGCCCAGGTTCCTGTGGGCAGTCAACTGAGCATATAACCATATCCAAAAATTGGTCTGGAACATGGCAATAGGCAAAAGCATAACCAGGAGTTCTTCCAGTACTTGTGATTATTGGGCTATTCTACAACTTGTTGGGGCAGAGGTTAACTTTTAGAATTTTGTCAAGTAAAGACAGAAATCATTTCAGACCAGAGGAAATATAACTGAATAGATTACACTTTATGGCCCTGTTATGACCAGTTTGTATTTAAGGCAGTAACCTATGAAACTATCTAGTTATCTAGCTTCTCAAATACTTTTTGGACCGATTTTTACATCTTACTGGTTCCCTCAGTAATTTGTAAGATGAAGAAATTCTTCAACACATATTCATTTTGCATTTGCATGAATCATAATTTTATCTTTTCAAAAATCATAATTTAGCAAGCACTATTTTAAGTGTTTCTATAGGTAATCATGCATTGTACATTAGAAATAAACAACCTTTTAAATTTTTAATCACTTAAGTTTGACTAGATTTTCAAAATACAAAGTCCTCGTAGATAGGATTATTAATTAGTAAAGAAACTGTAACTTGGAATAAGACTAAGCATGCCTAAGTGTATATTTCTGAATCATCACCATAAATTCAAAATGGCTAAAACATATAGGGAGAATTTCCTCTAGGAATAGGGAGAAGATTAGGCTGACCAAAAAAACCAAAAAGAACGAAAAACAAAACTAAAGAACAAGTCAAGAAAACTGGGATAGTGTTTCTCCTCTATTCAGTATGCATATTAGAAGTGTCTATGAAACATTTTTAACTGTTGGAGGCTTGGACCCAAACCCAGACAAATTAAATTTGAATATCCAGGAGTGCAACCCAGGCATCAGTATCATTTTAAAGTTTAATGCCCCCCATAGTCATTTCTCCTAGGTGTTTTGGACTCTCTCCAGCCTTCTTCTGTGCATTCAAATTGTAAGAGAAACAATGAACATACAGCTGATAACCCTACAAAGAGCACTGTTATCACCTCTACATTCACAAAAAAGGAAAATACTATAAATAAAACTACATAAAAATCTGTAACCTGTATTTCATTACTGGATTTAGCGTTTCTTGAGGAAAATGAATCCTACAAAGTTAGCTAAATGTTGTTGCCAAATGGTAATCAAACTTATATAGCCTTGTATATAAGTCTCAGAATATGCAATATAAACCAATGTGAAAACAGATTTTGCTCTATAAACCTCACTGGGCATAACTATCTACTCATCTACGCAATATGAGTGCATACCATCATGGACTATAAAAAGCAGTAAACTTCCAAAACGTAAGCCTAAATTTCAATTTACAAACAAAGCAAAATTGAATTTTCTTTTTTCAAAAAAGCTGGCTTCAAAACACTTTATTCTGCAATTTAAAGACAAGGCAGTTTAGAAAAAAATCTCTCTACTTGCTGACTATACTTTCTTACTTTTCATTGCTTCCTTCCCTGTTTTTGTGGACGTTTCCAATGATCTTCATGTTATATTTGACCGTCACCATCTACCTAACTGCTGAAGTAAAAAGTCTGGAATTAACCCTAATTCCTCACTTTGTCTCACAACATTTATCCAAGGCAACAGCAAGTCAATTTCTCCTTCTAAACATAAACTAGCATATTTCTTTCCACCTTTTCTAATACCATCTGAGGCTATGATGCAACCATACTAGGCCTGGACTACTGCTGCCATCTCTTTACCTGTCTCCCTGCTTCCACTCATGACCTGACACCTCTGTAACCTTCAAAAGCCTCTGACAGCTTTTGATGACGTTTAAAAAAAAATTCAAATGCTTTATTACCATAGCCTTCAAAACCTTGCAGCATCTAGGTATTTAGCTCCTGCCTACATTCCGAGAATCTTTCTGTGTGGACCCTCCCCACACTCTAATTTAAGTACTTGCAACCTGTGGACCTAGCACACTCTTTCCATAGGTCTTCACAAAGCTGCTTCCTCTCATCCCTCAGACTCCAGTTCAAATACTACTTCCTCATAGAGCTCTTCACTGATCACCATCTACCACATGACACTGCCTATTTTCTTCATAATGTTTATCACAGTCTGTAAAAGTATTATGTGTGTATGTCCGGGGAGGGAGTGTTAATTCTCTTTCTTCTACTGCATCCTAGGGCTTAGAACATGTAGCAAAGGCTAGACATTCAACAAGTAACTGTTTAATCAATAAATGCTCAGTGGTGGCGAGGTCTACAGTGCTAGACTGGAAATGGTATTACCTTCATTCTACCTAGACTTGGCTCTATCAGCAAATAGTTGTGTGGCCATGGGTACATCCCAAGATTGGAATTGAGTAACTGGAAGGTGAGAAAGTGAAAACAGCAAGTATGAAGGGTTTTCCCCCCCCTAAATTTCCGTGTTTGTCTAAACCCAAGAAGAAAGATATATGGAAGCGTTTTATTTCTCTGAGGCTGTGTCCTCATCTATATGAGATTACTCAGGTCACTTCCAGTTCAGAAATACCAGAATTATAGGGGCCTCAGCCTGACTTCTTTACTTATACCCCTCCTGCCCCAGGAACCACATCAAGATATTCATCTTGAAATCAAACATCACACGGGGCACTTTACTACTTACACCTTTGCTCATACTGCTGCCTCTTCTCCAACTCCAATCACCGGAAAATGTATCCTTCAAAGCCTAGATCAGTTGCTAACTGCTTCATAAAGTCTGATCCAATCACTTAGCCCAAAACTAATACAGTCTTTACATGTCCTAGAATTCCTCTATAAGCTTCAAATTAGAGTACACCCTGATCTTACCACGCCCTTCTTGAACTAGTAACTTAACCTCTCTCTCAGCCTGTTTCCTAATGTGTAAAATGGAGATAAAAGAACCTATCATACCAAACACTATTGTTGGATAATTGAGAATACTTAGCTCGATAATAAAATGTTCACATATTATTTGTGCGCTACACATATTTTTCGTGCTCCTTGAGAGCTTCCAGAACATCTTTTTCATTTCTGAATCTCTAAAGTGTTAAAGACATTTCACTAGCCATAACTAGACAAATGACCATGCCCTCCAAAAACTGTTCTCTATCTATACCTTACAAAAATAGCCTCAAGCAAACATACGGTAAGCTTCTCTAAGGACTGGCATTCGGGGAACTAAACTATTGCGGCAAACCAAAGTGGGTGGAAGCCTGAAAGTTAAAATAACATTCAAGACTTTGGAGATCCTTCCAAAGAAACTGACTCCTGCCACAGCGATAGATCTTTCGAACTGCTGTTTTCAAGTTGGGTTACAAGGATGAACTTTGGGGACTGTGAATTGCTCAAAAAGAGATGCAAAATAGTGCACTGGCACAAACAGGCAAATGGGGGGGGGGGGGGGCAAGAGTGTCAACACCAGACAAGATTTAAAGAAGTCTGTACCAAGGGGCGAAAAAGAGGGTGACGATGAAGCGACCAGTCGCATTAAGAATGAAACCACAAGGGACGAGAGTGTAGACAACAAACCCAATCTCACCTAACCGTAACTCCCCCCACCCGCTGCCCCCCGCCCCCCGCCCCCCGCCAGTGAGTAGGTGACCTAGGACCGAGGGAGGCGGCCGGACGGGCGCGAGGAGACCTTAGGGAAATCGGTGCGCCCTCGGAGCGCGGCACCTGTCCTAGGTGGGCCTCCAGCCCGCACCGCCCGCAGCGCGGACCCGGCCGAGGCCCCTCGGCCAACTCTGCTTCCCGCCCCGGTACCTGCGGGGTCGAGCGCCATCTCGGCGGCAGGCGGGGAGAAAGGCAGCCGAGGGGCGGCTCCGGGGCAGGGAGCGGGGCGGGACGGGGCGGAGAAGGAGGAGCGCGGCGCCCTGGGCGAGGCCGGGCCGGGCTCCTTCCCCGCTTCCTCCCCCCGCTTCCTACTTCCGCCGCCCACTGCGCCTGCGCCCTCTCGGCCCCGCCCCTAGGCCTAAATCGCGGGTGGAATCGACTTCGCAGAGGGAGGGACCCAGGGAAGGGGGCGTGGCTGCACGCGCCTCGGGGGCGGGACCTCCCGTCTCGGCCTCGCTTTGGAAGGCTCGATCGCCGGGTCGCAGCCCGCTTCTGCGCTCACCCGAGCCCAATCCGAAGTCCTTCGGGACGGCGCCTGCCAGGGCGACCAGGTCAAAGTCCGAGGCCCGCCCTGCATACCCGCCTGCGGAGAAGCAAAAGAATCTTCCCGTTCCTTTCATTGTTTTTTTCGTAAGGTTCACTCATTCGTACCTGTCTATTTCATGCCTGCCAGCTTCCAGCCACGATTCCGAATACTACGGGAAAATAATAAACATAAGATCAGTATTCTCAGTGATCAGTGTTGGCAGGGGAGTCCAATAAAAACAGCACGATGTTTCCCACTGGGTGCATGCTGTAAGAATTGTGTCTCTCACAGAAAAAAACAAGACAAAACAAAACAAAAAAACCACGCTGTTAAATGCTCCACGCGCGCAAGATGTGCACAGCTTGTTCCACCATGAAGGGGGGTGTGGCGTGTGCATTATCATTACTTCTCCCCCCGATCAGAGGCCTGTGGCTCTCCTGGAGGTTAAAATGAAAATGTGGGCTCTAGGGTGTACCTCTGTGCTGTGAAATAATAATACTCACCATTTAACAGTTTGATTTGGGTGATACTACAAATCCCCTCTGTCAGTCAAAGTTGTATAGCCGTCCCGTGTAAGACCTCTAACTGCCCTCTGCTAGGAGAAGAAACTTTCTGGGTGGCACTTAGGTTGGTTTCTACTCACGAACCAGCCTTCTGAAGCGCTTCCTTGCCAAATCCACGTTTAACTGGCTCAAGCCTCCGAAGGATGAGTTGCGGCCTGGGACAGATGGGACAGATGTTTAGAAAAACAAGGAGCAGCTGCTTCTTCCCTGCGAGGGATTTAGGGCTTTCAAAATGATCCCCTCCCCACCTACCTGCAGTCCCTCCTCCCCTGCTGCTGTTTCCGCCTGGTCAGTTGGCAGAAAAGCTGAGGCCATTGAGCAAGGCTGGGAAAGTGGGTCCCTGCTCAGCAGGTCTTCCGTTTAAGGGCCTATTTGGGTATAAGGGCCCTTATTACAGCTGTAGGTTGAGGTGCCAAGGTGAAGAATTAACGTTTTTCTCAGCCAGCCGGGAAACCGGATCCTTTTCTTTGCATGTTTTATGGTAGTAAGCGTGCTTAGCAACACAACCAAAACTCACTCTGGTGACCCTTTTCTTTTTCTAGAGATGAAGGATTTAATTTAGAAAGTTAAAGCAAATATTTTCGAAGAGATGAGGTGGAATATAAAAACACAGGTCAGACACCCATATTCAAGTATTATATTAAACTAAATCTCTTTGTATGCAAAAGGGTATCATGCTTAAGGGGGAACATTGCAGAGCTTCAGACAGAGAGACTTGGCTTCCTTTACTTGAGTCCTGTAGTTTGATCTATTGGCTTCGTGACTTGAATAAGTTCCAATGTTTTTGTAAACTTTAGTGTCTTTTTTTCTTCTTTATTATGATTTTATTTTTTAATTTTTTATTTTAAAGATGTGGGGTACAATTCAGGGTTAGGTATACAAATGTTCATTATGCAGTTACCCTTGTTGAGGTTTCCCCTGCCCCCGCCGCAGTTTCCCGCTGCTGCCAATCCTTTTCTTATAGTATTACAATAATTGTTCAAGGTCCGTTGTAAACTTTAGTTTCTAATTGGCAAGGATGTCTGAGGAATAAATGGGATCTCATATAACATATTTGAAGTCCACCCTCTAAAGTTTGTTCAATAACTATCACTTGAAACATTACTATTTCATATTTTGTATTTAAATCAACTCACTAAAAAAATTTAAGTAGAGACTATTTACTTTAGCCTTATTCTGAGTAAGTACATTTATAGAATCATGAGTTTCATGTGCCCTACAAAAATGGACCGCTAGACGTATCACATCAGGAGAGGCACTTGCAAAAATAGCCCCAATGCCTCTCCACTCTTCTGTTAAACTGGATACTTTCAGGGGTAAACAGAGTCTTTACACTCTAGGGAGGATAAGTCATTTTTTTAAAAGTTAAGGTAGAAAAAATTGAATTGGAAACTCAAAACAGAAAAATTTTTTGAGGCATCACATTATTAATTGACAATTACTCCGGCAGTAACTTCAATACGAGCTTAAAGAGAAAGAACACATCGTCAGTTAAAGACCAGAAATGTGAGATCAAGGTGTCAGAGGGTTGGTTTCTTCTGCAGCCTCTGGTCTCAGGTTGTAGATGGACTTCTTTTTGTGTCTTCACATGGTCTTCCCTTTTGTGTGTCTCAATATCTTCTTGTAAAGAATCCAGGCATATTGGATTTGAGACCCTCCTAATGACCTCATTTTGACTAAACTACCTTTTTAAAAGTTCTATCTCCAAACACAGTCACATTCTGAGGTACTGGAAATTAGGATTTCAACATATAAATTTGAAGAGACACAATGCAACCCATAGCACCACTATTCGAAGTTTTGTTTTGCTTTAACTTGCTAGATGTTTCTTTTTAATTTCTTTTTTTAATTTAAAAATTATATTATACAGTTGTGTGGTATAAGTGAGGATTTACTACATAAGGCAGCTGCATGCAGGTGAACTTTGGGCTTCTAGCTGGTCCTTACTTTCACTGGTAGTTTTTTAAGTACTAAAATTCATTCCTGAATTCCAAATCATTTGGCTAGGTTCTTGACAAAATTCCTAGCTTTAGCCTCTATCCAGAGCAATATACTTTGTCTCTGTTTTTCTGATGGTTGAATACAGCCTGCTTCATTCTTGGACGGCCCAACTATCCACGTCAGTCTGCCCTTGTTTACTCTTATACCCCAAATCTGATTGTTCAGAGCATCCACTCAGTTATCCTTCCATAATATATCTTTATGTCATCTACCAACTACACTATCATAACTCTTAGCCCAAGATTCACCCATTTTTTGCAGAGATTATTGTCATAGCCTTCTAACTGGCTTTCTGTCCCTAGGCATTTCCTCTTCCCACCCATTCTCTCTAATCTATTTCACCTACAGCAGCAAATATGATCACAAAATTTCTTATATAAAATCCCTCCTCAGTAAGAGATAAACCATGAAGTAAGAGGATATGCAGACCATACATCTGATAAGGCATTGATATCCAAAATATATAAGGAACTCAAACTACTCAATAGCAAGAAAGCAAATAACCTTTAAAAAATGGGCAATGGACCTGAATACATATTTCTCAAAAGAAGACTTGTAAATGGCCAACAGGTATATATATATAAAAAAAAATGCTCGACCTCACTAATCATCAGGGAAATTCAAATTAAAACCATGATGAGATATCACCTCATATCTGTTAGAATGGCTAACAAAAGACAGTAAGGCAAAAAGACAAAAGATAGTGTTAGTGTAGATATGGAGAAAAGGAAACATTTGCACACTGTTGGTTGGTATATAAATTAGTATAGCTATTATGGAAAACAGCATGGAAGTTCCCTCCAAAATTAAAAATAAAATACCATGAGATCCAGCAATCCCACTACTGAGTATATAGTAAAAGGATATAAAATTAACATGTTGAAGAGACACCTGCACTCCCATGTTCATTGTAGCATTATTCACAATAGCCAAGATATGGGATCAACCAAAACGTTCAACAGGTGAATGGATAAAGAAAATGTGGTATATATACACAGTGGAATACTATTCAGTCCTAGAAAGGGAAATTCTGTCATTTAAGACCACATGGATGAAACTGGAGAACATCAGGTTACATGAAATAAACCAAGCACAGAAAGACAAATATCACCGTGATCTCACATAAATGTGCAGTGTGAAAAAGCCAAACTTATATAAATAAAGATTAAAATGGTGATCACCAAAGGCTAGGGATTGGGATCACTGGAGGGATGTTAGTATAAGAATACAAAATTTCAGTTAGGCAGTAGGAATAAGTTCAAGAGATCTGTTGTACCTCATGATGACTTCAATTAGCAACAATATGTTGTATATTTGAAAATTGCCAAGAGAATAGATCTTAAGTGTTGTAACCATAAAAAATGATAAGTATGTGAGGTAATACATGTGTTAAATAACTTGATTTAGGCTGGGCTCTGTGACTCAGCCTGTAATCCCAGCATTTTGGGAGTCTGAGGCGAGTGAATTGCCTGAGCCCGTGGATTCAAGACCAGCCTAGGCAATGTGGCAAAACCTCATCTCTACAAATAAATAAAAAATTAACTGGGTGTGATAGTGAGCATCTGTAGTTCCCGCTGCTTGGAAGGATGAGGCGGAAGGATTGCTGTAGCCCAGCAGGTCAACACTGGGATGGCCACGAGTGTGCCATTGCACTCCAGCCTGGACAATGGAGTGAGACTTCAACTCAAAAAACTAAAAAATCAAAACTTGATTTAGCTATTTCATAATGTATACATATAATAGAACAATATGTCGTGTACCATAACTACATACAACTTATATTTGTCCATTGAATAAATAAATACAAAAATAAATCCTCATGGTTCTCCATAAAATAAGAATCCAAATCCTTTCCTTTAACAAGATTCACAAAACTCTTTATAAACTCATCCCATATTACTACACCATCCTTTCATAACCAACCTCCTTGTAATCTGCAATTTCTGCTACATTAACTTACATGCAATAGTTGATTAATCATCTGTGGAGACATCTCCGAACTATTCTGGATAAATGGGTGGGAGTCTGTGTTTAACATAAAACCTTGAAACTGACTGCCAAAAAGATTTTCCAGTAGGAGAGTTTTGGTCTTTGGAATTAAATAGAGCTAAGCTCATTTTTCTC